TTCTAGTTGAATGAGATGCTGTCAGAAAAATTCGTCTGATGAACAATAAGAGAAAATGCGCAAGAGGGTTTGGTCTGTTGACTTCGTGTGCAATGTTAGTTCACAACCGTTAAGCCTAAGAAAATCATCCATTGTGACACGGGAAACGGTACCACTGACCCACTACTTATAGCTACTCGCGCGTTCGAGACTGTTTTACGGGAGCTTGATAATTTATATATATATATATTAGGTCCGTGATTAGCTGGAAATCATGGGCATAATCAGGGTAAGAAAGAACATCGCCTGAAGCTGAATTCAATTTGGTGTAAGATACGAAACTGAAATGTTTTACCTATGCAAATTTTTTTCAAGTTTAAGCCTACACTGCATAAAAAAAACAAAAATGAAGCTTAGATTAAATGCAAGCAAGAAGTATTTCTCTATTATTTTAAACACAGAGTATTTTTTGGATCCTCTAGTTCGTTTTTTAAATATTCCGAGTTTTACTCTATCTCGTTGTGTGGAAGCATCAAGCAGGTGTAACATAACTATGATCAGCAGGTGCATAGACCAGTAGAAAACGAAACAACGTTAACTGCTACGGCGATAGATAAGAACTAAATCAAGCACCTATGAAGACTCAGCATTTTTTATGAAGCTTTACGGGTTCGGGCGTAGAAGATAATGACGGTCGCGTAATTGGCGGAAAGAGCCATCTAAGCTATAAAGGCTTAACAAAACTCCTTTGCGAGCAAAAGAATCTTGCATTAAAACAGATGACGCATATACCAAACGCTTGTACCGAAACCAGCGATCCACACGAAATTACTTGCATAACCAATAAAGGTGAACGTTGTACCCTTATGTGTTCAGGGGCCGCAGCGAACAGAAGGCAACTAGGACACAACAATATGTTTCTTAACAAAAGGACCATTAAATAGACTGGAAAGTGAGAACTCGATCAGCGACTGGTGATGCTTTGAACAAAGGAAGAATTTTATGCGGTATTACCTTAAGCGCTTATGCTTAGCATTGCAACACTTAAGCAGATATGACTTCGATAGTACGCACTCAGTTGGTTATAAAATCGTTTTTGAAGTAAGAAACAGGAGTGTACGTGCTCGCCCTTTCGAAACGCAAATGTCATAATCATATGTTGCTGAGTTTTGCCTATTCAGCTAGCACTTAAACTCATAGTGAAAATAAAAGGTTTACAAACAGTTACTGATTTGAAGATTGAGAAAAAAATTCGGGTTTTTCAGGCCAATTATTTACGTTACTACTGTCTGAAGTAATCTGAGGCTGTAGCACCGCCATAGCAATTAATACAAAGCTGTAATGTTTTTTTTTTTTTTAGCCTAGACATAAATTATACAAAAGTATTTAGCGTTGAAGCTTCGTCGGACACCATACAAAAATCGATGCATCGGATCCAACAATACCTCACAATTAACCGTCTGAAGTACAAGGAAACGGGGCTAACGAGGAAAAAGAGCTATAATAAGGTTATCGAATTTTTCAATAAGACAATAAAGCGACAATAGAATACCAAATACGTTGTTAGTTTACATTCTGAAAAAATATTTACCTATACAGGGGGACAAAAGTATAACGAAATACAGTTTACTGACTTTTTTTCCCAGTAGAAAATAATTTTTGATAGAAATTAATAACGAAACAATGCGCACGGAGAAAAGGAAAAGCCGAAATAAACAGAGCAAATTATTTTTTTACCCATTTAGGCACTCAATAAAAGACGCTGATTAACTTAAGATCACCGGAACCGAACAAGATAAAGTGAAGCGTTACTAGACGATATATTATTTTAAGTATTTAACCAATGACCTGATATATTAATTTATTTCAGCAGAAGCCCAATAGCTATGGTCTTCATATAAAACCATCTTAACTTACATTTATAAAATCTGTCCGACGCTTCAGTTTTTCAGAGAGGTCTGCAGCGTTCGTACCGAAATAGCCGGCTAATGTTCTAAACTCTGATTCAATCCGCAGCTTACCTATACGGTACCAGAGACTAAAACACCATGCAGAAAATGCGTATGTAAAATTTCAAAGTGACACACCTTTATTCAGTTACATTAGCACCGTAATGTTACATTAAATGTCCTGCGGCTGGATTTGTGACCACTATTAAGATAAACATGGAAGCGACCGAATGGTTCGTGCAATATGTTTTTCTGTAAAAACGTTCTTAGAAAGCGATTTGATCGTCCAGCTTTATTTGTCCTATGTGCATTATTTATTGCCACCTTTCGGGGTCCTATTTTAATTATGTGTTTTCGTCCTAAATTTGCTTATCCCTAATCATTTTTGTTTGTCGTGCGTTACGAGTTCGGGCAAATTACTGCATTTTTTCATTTTAATAAATTCTCAATTTATTCAATTAGCAGTAATCTCGTCATAAGCCAATGGCTTCTATTAAAACGTTTGTCTCGCATTTTCTCAAACATTTTTTAGAAAGCTGCACAGTCTCAAGCCGTATCGTACCCTAACATGTAATTGTCTTCTCCGGGGTAAGCTTCAATACCTTTTAAAATCTCTCTTATTTTAACATTACTTTTTTTGTTAATATTATTAGTATAATGCACTCACAACGCAGGTCCTTTCATAATAAGTATATGTTTCACTTTTCATAGGGTGTCCTTATAAAATGATATGTCATTTATCGTTTTTGGTCGCGTTTGCCTGCTGTTCTTATAGATTGATGTTGCCATCTCTCCAAAAAAAGCCATCCATACTCTTTAAATACTGGCCAAATAGATGGCATATTTTTGATTGTCTTTCAAGTCCAATATTTTCTTTTTAAATAGATCTAACAGGAAACAAAAGAGGTCTGCTGGAACAATTCCAGAAGCCTAACGAATGCCATATGTGATCGGCAAAGAAATCCATTTGTCTAAATAGCCGTGCATAATTAATTTTTAAAAGGTATTGTCCTTAAGATGAGAATTCTTGCTTTTCTAACTAGTAGCAGCAGTAGAGATTTTGCTAGAACGTTAGTTGACGCTGCTAAACGACACTCGGCCACATGGCATTGGGCTTTGGTGGCGTTTGGTCGTCATTCAAAACCTTTTAAAACGAATACATTTTGCCAAATCTTTGATCTACTCTATTTGGAATGAGGGGTGACAATGAAGAACCGTCTTCGTTTAATGTGGGCACAAGCGGTCGCGGTCGTGCAGGAAGAACGATCGATAGGTTGACTATATGCCAACATGCGCTACGGGAAGTGGCAATAGCTGGGCCTATTCCGAACCTCAAAACCTTGCTGTATTGTTTGGCATACGTATGGATCCGACCATCTTCTTGTGATAAACTAAGAATTTTTCCGGCCTCTACTAACGGATATTGCGAGTTGCCATTTGCTCAGCTCTCTGCGTAATCGTTAGGCGTCATCGAAAATCACTTCAAGCTAGTCGGGTTGTGGGTACCATTAAAGCTTAAAGTCTACATCCTGAAGTTGAACGTACCACTTTTGAGTTAACTCGCCCATTGTTGGGGGCTTGTTCATGTGTCTTGTATATTTAGTATTATTTTATTATGCAGGAACGTTTGCTTTTCGAGAATTGGAAAACCATTATATGCCACAAATAATTTTTCCAGCATTCGATCATCTTTCTAATAGAAATTTCATGTACAGTTTCTCGGATAAGGTCGAACAGCCGCGCTTTTTTGTAGATATTTAGAAATAAATTGTCTCCCCATTATGTAGAAATTTGTGCTTAGGAGTAAGCTGGATCAAGAAGATGCAAACAAAGTTATAGACGACGATATGTATATGTGTAGTCGACTGTGATGACCATAAACTTCGGCAGCTCTAGGCTATATAGGGTAAACTAAGTTTTCTTTTTTAACATAAACCCGATTTTTTGTCAGACATGTTTTTTCCTCTATGGAGTTGTTCAGTTTACGCACAAAAATTCCAGAACTAATTAGAGCCGTCTTTGAGATCGCGCAAACATCTTTCTTTCTTCTACCTATACACCCAACCTTTAGTGAACCGCAAAGGTAACCATAAATGATAGGAAACGAGGCGGAGCGTAACCTTAGGAAGTCTAACGTTATGGGCAACGTTCTTAGAAGCACTCAAACATTGTGCTCGTGATTTCTAATGTTGTCTTTTTCATTTTTATTTTTAGCAAGTTTCGTCGACGTTCTCTATCCGGTAGACCGTTCTATCGTCTCCATTGTTGTTGCTCGAGGCCCGTGAACAAGGGTTTGGCGAAATAACGCTGTTGAAGACAAGGAGTATCAAATTGTTTTTCCATCTGGCTGTCTTGCCATGGCCGAGATGAAGGCGTCCAATATACGCAGACATACAACTACTGCTATGGCTATTGCCACGATTGTTAAATGGTTCAAATATATCATTTGTCGGCAGCTGTCCAGGACGGGAAGTTTACTCCTGTTCGCGCGAAACGTGCTAGCCGTAAAAAACGTAGCGAATATTTTCCCACGAGTTTATCTCTATTGTCTAGTACTTTCGGTAACCGTGTCAGCAGAGGTATAGTGGCAACAGTTGCAAGGCCGAATTCACTAAGGCTCTGGAAAATATGGGAAACGGCAGAACGACTTGGCAAATTCTGGTACTGCTGTTCGAAGTTTATCTAGGAATATAAACGTAACAACCCAAATCAATATTCATTGCTACAGTAGATATAATGATGTAGACAATTAATTCTTATCGGGCGTACCATTTTTGCGCCGACCCGGCCTCTTCTCCTTAAGTATATAAGTACCGACCACCGTTGTAATTGGCAATGATGTAGGTCACCAGTTTATTTTGTACTGAAATAAGGAGTGTATTTGTCTATTAAACAGAAGGATATGTGGTAATCCAGGTTCGAAGCCAAACGTAGATATATTTCGTTTCGTGTTGGAACTTAGCTCCTTGGTTGTAGGCGTATTACTGTGGACGGTAGATTTGAACGAAATACGTCGCTTACTGCTAGCAAAAACGACAAGTTATATAATAATCGAGTAACAACACATTCCCGGACTAAGTAGGTATCACAAGACTGAATTTATTCTACATAATAATATTATATTGCATTACATCATGTACAGAAGAGAAGTTAGCCGCGCTAGCTTTGGATGACTATGTAACTAGTTGATGAATCGATTTGTGTGAATTAATGTGCTTGCTACTGTGTACGAACGTGTGAACTTTTCAAAATGGCCTTCTCTGTAGTGTTACATGGATGTCGTACGTGTTGTTGATTGCAGTAATGTACATAGTGTTCCATTTGTCGGCAAATAAATCCTTTTTTATCTTACATATTGTCGTTATCGATACTGTATAACTGACTAGTTAGACGGTCCCGCAATAGAGGACCTCAGCCTGGACTTAGCCTGCGAAGGCGTCAGACGTCTTCTGCCTAACACCCTTTTCGGCCACCTTTTTTACTATTTTTGCTCTGGTGCTTTAATGTTGTTCCCAAGATATACGTTGTTAATAAAGAAGGAGTTCCCCTTCCCTAGGACCAACCACTAAGGCACTAAACATATTCTAAAAGAAGCCTTATTTCTTCCTGTTTTTTGGCTTGCTTCAATTGCTATTCTCATAAAATACGTCTTTTTTTTTTATTTCATTTGTTCCAGTCACCGTCTTAGATTTTGTTATGTTCACAATTTATTCAGCGTACCTCAACTCCTAGACATGTAGCAATATTCCATACTTGTCTTGTAAATACTGCCTGTTACGTTGTCCAATTCGATATTTTTCTCTCCAAAAAAGACACCAACATATATATATATATATATATATATGTAAATTTTCATATACGCGACAAGCAGATAAAATTTGCTTCCACAATGTGACGATGAGAACCATTTTTGTCCAAATAACGTTGCAGCATCCGCGTTGTTCTATAGCCATTAGTTGCTTTTATGCGGAACGACAAATGGAAGTGACGCTTTATTCGCAGGCCACAACGGGTTCGTCGGCAAACCGGACCGTGAACATATGCTAAGTGAATGAAGAGGAAACAATTGAAATTGCTTTACAGATAAATAACTGTAATTTGTTCCTAACGTAAATAATCGTCTGATCAAGGCGTCTGTATTTGAAGTTAATAGTATTTAAAGCTAGATTTCCTCTATTATGATTTTTCCTATAGAATCATGATATGACGACGCTTGCGTCTTTTCGGTTCTATGTTCAAACACGTGCAAACGTCGTGCCTTCCATTGAGCTGAAACAATCTTTACCTTGGGCTTTCGTCATAAGTTGTTTCCAACCGATGTCGCACGGTGAGAAGAGGCCATCATTGACGCAAGCTCGACATCGCCATGTGCTACCGTTGTAGTTCGAGAGAGTAACAATTTCGATGAAGCCCCGATCGTATGAGTGCTATTCCATGCATTATGCTGAGTTGCTACAGGAGCGACGGAGCCAGCAGCTTCGTTCGGGGTGCCAGTTAGAATTGCTTGAGACTGAACGAAAGCCTGCTCCAGCGACTCCTGCGTTACGACCTGAAAACCGAGTACGTATTGGTATTATGACTAAAGCCCGACAACGCTGAGTCAACATCTATCCACACACTGGGTACAGTGCGATCCCTACATAGTGATAGAACGAAAATGCGTTCAAAGAGGCTCTATCGTTACTAAATTCATTCGAATCAGACTAATCCATGCAAGCTAGAGACAGCTATTGAACACGCTCGGACGGTATATGCGTCTCATCAATGCTTTACGGTGGTGATGATGAATTTTGCAACAGTCTATATATAAAGTTCACATATGCTATTAAAGTAGTTCCTAGCTACCTGTGCGTTTGATGGTACGGCTATTTCCGTACCCTGTATGATTTGAGAAATAGCTGCTTGATGGTTTAGAGCTTCGACCAGCTGGGCCTTGTGTCAGATACGGTAGAAATGCGGAGTCATTCGTGATGCTTTCAACGATAATGCACTACACAGCCAAAGTGAAAGCGTGGCCACCGATAACATGTATAATGACCTGAAAATAGATGTTCAGAGAATGTCTCCATATTGAAAGTCGTTGATCCGAGATCATGATCCGCTTTTTTAATCTGCTAACATGTTTTCGTTGACAGCTTTGGTTCAAATATCGAATGGCGCGGGTGCTTGATATTTTTATTGGTCAATCATAAGTTAAACTGCGATTTAAACTACTCTATTCATACTAATAATTTAGCATATGTGTACCGTTAACGGGACCCGAAGCAATTGTACTTAGAAGCTCAAATAACTTTTGCAGTGACTTTTCAAATCGAATTTACGTAAACGTTTTATAATTGTAGGAACGCCTTGGGATTCAAAAAGGCCGACAGGCATCAGCAGTAGCTCTACGTGGCACCCTGCACTTCAAATTGCTTTTGATGAAATACCAAATTGAAAAATAACATATATAGTCTAATCGTATATGATGTATTACGGATAGATGACACTTACCATGAGTACTTGCACTTTGGCCCGAGATGAAATGGTTCAGATATGTCACCGCATGCCTCTTTCACCTGTGGATTCCCGTATCCAAGTGGGTAAAGCCCTAGTCCAGCTGCCACGAAAAGGCCTTAAACGAGACAAGGCAAAGAAGATAGAGATAGGTTTATTTATGCCACACAGGACAAGCTGTTTCAAAAAATCATCAGTATTACCTTTCAATTTCCCTGTTGTATATTTTTTTTTGAAAAACGTCCGCGATTTCTGGCGGAGCTTTCTATGCATGTCAAAAGGAAAGAATCAGTGCGTTGAGTTACGAAATATGTGGCGCAATCTCTGCTGACCCGATGTGTTTACCAATGTCATCAAGAATTAATTTATTAGGTTAAAGGCTTTTCTCATGAAAAATACGGGGTAGCCGGTGAGGCATGATGACTACACGATGTGTTATATTTAGTAGCTTATTGTTTATTGCTGATTACTAAAAAACAAAGCCAAATAGTAATATAAATCTTTCCTATAACCCTAAGATAAAATGGATTTGTATTTGTTGATTCAGAATGCACCGCAAAAGTAACATGTCGTCCTACACATCACGGTAGTCACCGCTACACGTCGCTTCCCGACTCACTGTTCCCCTAACCTTTTTAAAATGCTTGACACTGTTAGTGACGAATGAGAAAGTAACTGAAGGACAACTTCCAGCTCTGGCGCTATCCACAATCATATTTGATTTCGTTGCCTGCTTCGTCATATTCATTGTGGCTTCTCTGTCCTTTTCGTTCCGTTTGGGGAGCGCTGTTCGTCACGGCGGCATATTGTGATACCAAGGTAACAAATTAAACATTATTTCTTCTGTCGTTAATATTGTTTTTTTTGAACGCGAATGCCCCTTATGGGCGGAGCAACGGCTGTGTCCGCGTCGGCCAGCTCATGTACTGACCTTTACCAGCATATGAACACAGCAGTTCTCATATAAGCGCACTGAAGGCATAACAGGAAATGGCAAAGCAAGGAAGAAACGAATGCAAGACGACATAACTTACTGGGGTTCCGGGTTGAATATTCCGCCCTCCACTAGCAACAGCATCACCTACACTACAGGTATGGACACGCACGAAAGGCAATCGTTTCCCGACTCCGCTTTTACCAGCAAGGGCAACATTGTGCCCGTGGCCGCGGGAACCAACGCTATATAACCTAAATTGAGCTGGGTCCCGTTCCTTCCATAGCACAATACAAGCCTATAGCCACGAATCATGGATACGTGGGTCCAGAGCCCCTATACGAAGCTACAGGCTTTGCTGTAGGCCACGTGTCCCTCTACATGGCCTGCTCTTATACACTCGCTAAATAGACCTCTCATACAAAGGCCTTTTTGCTGCCGCGCTACAATAGTAGACATATCGATCTTCACCACTTCAATGCACTACACACACATGCACGCCTGCATTCGTGCATACGTTGCAGTTCCTGCCGCCGCCATCGCCACAGAATTTTGCTAGGGCTGCTGTTTCTGCCAGTCGAAACGTTACAACATCAATAGCACTAATGGGCAGGCAAGTAAGTCAGCGAACGTCTGGGAGAGTGTCGGCTCGATTGCTGTGCTAGCCACGACGATGACTTCCTCGCTTCCGAAAGCGACGAGACTCTGGGGAAGTTCGTCATTCCTACGTACATGCGCTCGCGTATGTGTGCTGCGCAGGAGTGGGATCATGGAACGGTAGAAGAAGGACAAGGTCTGCTATTTATTCAGACATAAAGCTAAAGAGGGAGAAAAAGATGTCACCAAATAGGATAAGTGACGCTGCGGAAGGTCAGTATTTGAAGCAATGTTACATGAAGCAGGATTTTTCGGTCGCTCCCAGCATTTCCGGCTGGCCCCAAAAAAAAAACTTCTCATGCCATTGCTACTCGTCTAGGGCCTAGCGAGCGAGAAACTGGAATCTCAGTTACAGCAGAGTAAAAAGAAATCAGCTCGAACGGGCTTTTCCGGAACATTGCTGAAGTTAGATAAACCAACAACCTACGTTGAAATGTTGCCTAGCTACGGAGCAGCCATCATTGATATTAATGGGTGGTTATGTATGAGTGCTTGTACCCCACTAAAGCCGTTTTATATTACTTTGTTAACTAACCTTTTGATACACGCTGAAGCAGCCATGGTGTTTGTTATTGTTTAGAGGTAGTTAGAAGCTAAGTGGAACAAGACGAATGACGGGTAGCATGGTAAAGTCTGGCTCGTTATCTGGGACAACGTGGCATTGACAGCGAACGCTGGCGCTGGCAGGGGCGAGACTATGAAGGAACAAGGGTCATATTTTTCTCTCACTAGTGGTAATTAATTATATTAATAAATGTAGTTGTTTGATTAATGCGATTACCACTAGAAACACCTGCTAGTGCAGAAAGTGTCTCGTCTGCAGTGGCGGCAATGACTCGCCATTTACGAGTGCTGATACGTATCCAATTCAGTAGACTGCCATATTAAAGGCTTGTCATCGGAGCTCGGTTCTCGTTTTGAGTTCAAGTAGGGAGAAAATCACTGGCAACCTATTGCATTGAACTTTCTTTAGGTATCTGAAGTACCACTTTGAGAGGTCGCGCTCATTTATCGCTTAAAATATCCGGGCGACAAGATTTTGGGTTCGGTCAACAGTATGTGACATGTTCGAGGGCAGAGGGAGTGAGGCACATACTATGTAAGCAGTAAAAAAACGGTCAACATAAGTGTGGCAGGCGAGATTGAACGGAGAAAAAACTACTAAGTTGAATTTCTTAATGTATGCCATTTTCTGTCGGCATATACTGGAGAGGTATTTGAGTTTATTTAGAGCCTGCGGTCCTGCAGTGATGGCCAGGAGTTCAAATCTCTATAGTCTCCTCTACGGTACGAGATTTCTGTATGGCACGCTCCCCTGCAGATTATATGCTGATTTACATATGGGATGAAGTTGCAATGCTGTGAACGAGTTAAAGCTAAACACGCCAGAGAAAAAAGTTACTGGAAATTTTTGCACTGAGCAAGTTTGACAAACACATCAAAACACCAATTTGATTTTAAGTAAACACCGTGAGATGCTTTGTTATTTATTAATTAGCTAGTTAATAACAAGTAAAATTGTTCGTACAATATCGACCGACAGGTGCTCCATCTATTGGCTGCGGCCGGCCCTACTTAAATATCAAACTTATACATCGTCTTAGTTATGAATCATCTATATCTACTGAACTTGGTACAATTTGGCACAGTTTTATTTGCATGTTAATTAGCTTCCAAGCATGCAGATGCGACTTGTTTACCCGACCTATTATCAGAGTATCTTGGATTATTGTTATCGCAATTATCAGCTGGATAGGACAAAGTTTCCAGTAGATGATTCTATTAACGCCTAAAACAGGTTCAAACACAACAATCTTGAATATGACTCAAAACACGACCGAAGGAATACGGTGTAAAGTTTTGAATAAGGTCTGCTTAGAATGTGACACATGTTTCTTTTGCGAAGTTAACCGTGACCTGGATACGGTATAGTTATCCGGGCTGGAGTTATTCAGGGAGTCCATGATACAGTTTTTTAGAGATATATCCTGTACGTAAAACGAATACGCTAGATCCCTTACATTTTGTTGAATGGTTTCAACTAGAAAATATTTTTACAAGACCGGGGGGTTAGAACACTGCAGTTTCAAGCGGATACTTCTTGCCGACTTTAGTCCTTACGCGAGGGCAAGCAAACATTTCAAAAAGTTTATTTTACGGTTATCAACATCAAAATTATTATCAGCCTGTAGCAAGCACATGCAAGCATCAAGTCGATCACTGATAAGTAAATTATTCACAGAAACATGTTTATATGTCGTTTTCGGCCATTGATACCCCGGTAGTAATTGTAGATAAATGTATCTGTGAAAATGGATAATCATTATAACGTGTACAGGAGCGACATTCGTTCGGAACAGATAAATTGCACCACTCTGTTCTTGTTATAGAAAAAAAAAAAAAAGGTTTCCGATGAAAAAGTTGAACAGATATATATATATATACGACGATGGTATCTTAGCACATACGAAAAGTTAGCCGATTGCCGTACAAACAATGCATTTTAGTTCAATAGGACATCTGAAAATTACAAATGCAATTGTTAGAAAAAAACCTAAGTTTAGCATAACATTGATTTCGTTGTTATTCAAATGAGGGAATGTCTGTCGTTCGTGTTTTGGCATGGAATCCAAGCTAAGTGGTGCTTATGAGCAACAATAGCAGACCATCCTCACAACGATATACGTCAAACGAATTCAAAACATTTTTTCAGCTGATTTTAATTCATAGATACTGTCATCGCATTTCCGGTGCCAGACTATAAACGATGTAGCTTGAAGTGGTCAGGGGGAGGAATGAGAGGTATCGAGTCGTGCACTTCGTGCAGCATGTAGCTTTTGGCATACTTAGTGCACATCCTCTAATCCGGTTTGGCAATGATCCGCCTTCTGGCAAATGAAGCTCGAATTCTTTCTGTCAGTGACAGCAGCCGTCGCACGCAAAAGAACGGAAACGCCTTCAAAAGCGCTCTAGGTCAACGTGGTGGTGTTGTTGTTGTTGTTATTCGGATCTGAGTGATACTTGCGTATTTACCGACTTAGATAGATAAAAAGGACAAGAGACTGGACAAATGTCCCTCTAAGGAACCATACGAATCGATTTCAGAATAATTCGCGCCCTAGGAACATTAACTAGTATGTTGAACAGACGAATAAACTTCATTAATTAGTTATGCCACTAGATGGCGCCAATGTGAGATTGTTGGCAATGGCATTAGTGCGAAATCAGATTTGAAAGTAACAGCGACAAGAACCGTTCTGTCATTCCTGTCAGCTGATCACTGAGAGAGTTATCGCTGGCTCTAGAGATTATACAGTTAAAAAGTCCAAGTGAGCCTGATTAAGCCTTCCAGCATTAGCTAGACACTTCATCTTTCTCTGCCACTTCCTCCGAGTGATATCACACTCCATTATTGTGTAATATACATTTATTATTATAGTATATACGATGTATAAATATTTTTCAACGGTTCAAAGCAGTCAGCAGAATTACATTAGCGCTCTACTCATAGTCTGTAGCAGGTGTAGGTCGTTGTCGCTTCGTGCAATGTCTTCAAAGAATCCAAGAACATAACGTCGGCCTCGTTCCAGAGCTACTTCTTACCTTAAGGATTCAGTAAGTGCATATTTCACCTTCATCCCTGTCACGTGCTTGTACAGCCGTCCCTCTGTAGTAGACAGGCCTTCTTATGCAACATAAAGGACACTTATCATATCAGACGATTCCATTACCTTATCTGCACAAATGCCTACACAAAAATGGTACTGGAATTTTGTAAACAGGGCGAGGGCATCGAACCATTCATCTCAACCGCGCGCCATTTTTGCTCTATTTTAGAAAAATATATAACATAATTTATTCAGTTCTAAGGAAAGCTGCCTCTGCTCCTTGATTTTTACGTGAATGCAGTACGCGTAACTGTACTTATGGATCTTTGAACATGGCGCGCAGCTTCAATTTGGTGTACCCTCTTCAATGCAGTCGATGAAGTTGACTACTCGGAGAATGTATATTTCAAGCTGTGATTGTGTCTCAAAAAATCTAATTGATCAACAAAATAATACGAAACAGAAAAGATTAATTAACTATTTAGTAACATTATTTTTATTGGGATATATGTACACTCGCACTGCATCGAAGTAGGATTATTATTCGAAATTTAAATTATCAACAATTTATAATAAATATATGGATTCGTATTTTAATAAAAATCTTCGTATTTGAGGGAATAGATAAAAAGGTAAACTTACGGGGTAATTAAGCACCTGTATTATCAACTAACCAGCAACGAGTTGGATGAAACCAAGAGTTTTCGCCAGAAATGAGTTGACAGCGTCTGCCGTGAAACATCCGATCAAAGCGATGAACGCCACAAGTAGCGCTAGTGACGCTGCGATCCCGATCAGGACGGAAGCTGCACGCCAAGCTGCCGATGGAATTGAGCTGAACGATGCGTATCTGCCGCACTCTAAGACGATTTCCAATCTACGATCAGAGGCAGAAGCAGAGGATGAGCCGAAGATATTCGAACGGAACAGGTGTGCAAACGACGCGACATAAAAAAGAGCTTCGTTAGAAAATGACTACTATTAATTTTAACTTTTTCGATACAACCAACCTTCGCAAATTATATGCGTATATACACATAACATGTATGATGATAACTATATATATATATATATATATATATATATAGTCCGGCTAAACTCATTTTATAATAGCTACTCCGTCACTTATACGCGTGTTTGCATAGGATAAAAATTGGTTCTGCCTACTTGATGTTGTGAGCTAGAGAGGGATGGATCATACCCGGATTTTTAAAAACTATGTATTCAAGTTTGTTGGGTTAACGGCGACGCACGTATTTTTCACTTTATCTTAAACGGATTCATTGTGCGGGAGCGAAACATGGAATATTTATACTTAGCCTTTATAAACTAGTCATCACTTGTTCCCATATGGCTTAAACCATTATAAACTTTCTTACAGTTCTTGTCTAACCCGTTACACTAATTTTAATTTAGAAAAACTTGCCTAGCAAAGTAGCTTAACGGTATCGCACTTGGACACTTTCGAAGCTGACATTTGGTGTAGGTGGACGCTGATGAAGGCCGTGCGCAGAAAACTGCAATAGTCGGAGTTACTTTTTTTGGCATCAGACCATTTCTAGTTGTATCTTATACAAGCTGGCGTCTTTAAGAACCCTGTGACAGCGCTCTCTATCTTTTCCTTTTGTAGTTTTTGCCTCATTTCGTACGCTCAACTTCGCAGAAGGTTGTGCTTCTATAAAAGGTTTTCAGAAAAGATTGTCGTATCCAACGTCACTCTAACTGGCCTCGGCCATATCGTTTGGGCTACCTATGATCATCGAACGTCGAGGATAATGAGCCGATAGTGTTTAGCTCAGTGGATCACCCAATCAGCATGGTCTGTGTACTGTATAGAAGACATCAAATAAAACTCACGGCACGTCCGATACAACAAAGATAAACAGGAAAAAAAAAACATTATTGTAAACAATAATGACCTTTTTTTTTTTTAGCGTAACTAAATGTGGATCAATTTCAGCCTAGCGACGGCTGTTCTTTATCTGTGTCGTCTTGATGAGACTATTGATAAACTCTAATTAACGTTTTTCTAGCCGTTTCACAATTTTTCTATACGTTTCTCCCTGTACCTTCCTTCGATGGAACACTGAGCTGAAATAAAGTATCCGCTGCCCTCAATCGACACCCTTTCATCGCATTTATCTTTTCTGTACCAAGCATCACTTGCGGCCGGTGGAGTAGTGAGGGCGGGCGGGCGGGCGGTCGTGAAGGCGATATACAGAAAATCAATTAATGCTTGTCTTCTAAATCGTCTGCAAGTGAACGGTAAACAAACGGTGGATGGAAGGGAAGGCGTCAAGACGGCGAATGCGACGCCAGCTACAATTGCAAAGCTGTTGCCGGTGCCATTGCTACCAGCAGCTCTGCGTACACACATCTGTACGCAACACAGTGTGTCTGCCATTGTGTGTACTCGTTCATTGATCGTCGACAAAGTCTTACAACGTACATACACATGCATACGCATTTGGTTACGACGTCATCATCCCAATCCCGGTCGGTGTCACTTTCTTTTTTCTCGTTGCATTCATTTCGACGTTGCCGTTGAGTGCAGCTGCCGTTTGTTCGCAATTTCTTCGTCCGTTTTAACGGATGCACACCGTGGCGACACCTCGTTTGGGCAGTGCGGGCTCACACATCGACTGATCTACACAGACGCTTATAGGCATTCTTGGTGCGAGTGCAAATGCATCCGTTGTTGCCAACGAACGGGAATGAACGAGAGGCTGGATATGAACGCAAGCCGATTGAAAGTGCTGTTAGCCGCCACCTGTCGCATAGAATATAGGTGACGGTACCCCTCGCAGTTGGAGTACCATTATGACCCATATATCGAGCCACTTACTAACATAGTCTGTCGTTGCTAGAGACGCCCGCAGTTGTACGCCCTACAGACGCAAATATACACGTCTATATGAACGCGTACATTATTTTTCTTCTATGGCCCGACTCAGTTATCCTACTGCCGTCGTTGTATGTGGGTGGCACTCATTTACATGGTTCTATAAAAGGTTATCATTCTCGTGCACATTTTCATAGTATTTATCACATCTCGTCCCCAAAATGCATACATGTCTTTCTGACCGAATTGGAGTGGAAACATGTATTTAGACCGCGTACACACGTGTTTGTGTGTACTATTCGCATGCAGAAGTGAACGCGCCCACGTCTGCATACACGTACAGGAGCTCATAAAGGCCGGGGAGGAAGTTTGTCTGCATCATCGTACCGTATCGATATAGAGTGGTTTGGCAGAGGAGATAGCGTGAACGAATACGTTATGCCTGTATTTGTGGTTGATTCTGCTGCCTTTACTCTTGTTGGGTTTAGCCTATCTCTATTCTGTCGTGGCTAACACCGTACATTCATATGACAAAGGCTTACCGGTGCAATACGTGCCATATGTTTATTTTTTACTTCTAATTTCTATTTTCTTTTTTCTATTTTTTATTCTAATTTTCTAATTTAAGTTAAGTTCTAAGTTTGTTTCATGGGGCTCATATCAATATGAATAGCTGTCGGCAGAACGTCGAGGTCTTACTAGACTCAATTAGCCCTAGATAAACCTGCGGCTCAGTAAACTGGCTTGTACCCTAGGTCATTAAAATAGTGCTCTAGACATTTGTCGTGAGCTTTGGTTAATAATACTAGTTCTTGTGATAGCTTTGCGGGTAACGTATTGACCTGACACTATCTGGAACGTCTAGATTCAAACCTGGACGTAAACAGACTGCGGAAATATATATTATGAATTATGGAGAGTCGTGGGAAAGTTCTTGTACGTATCCTATGTTCCACAATGTCCGGATGATAAAACATTTCGTTCATACCATGGACGAAAGTGGCGGTATCGAAGATGGAGGTGTTCCTAGGAAACAAAATGCTACGAAGGTGACAGCTCATATGAACAAAAATGCTGTTCCAGTATCTGGTACATTACCTCGTTACTTTGTTAACAACTAAACGACATTTTGCGAAAATAGATGACTATGTACAGAGTATAGATTATCTTGATTCGAGGCTAGTCACGTAAAAATTAGTTTATCAGGTTAGAGCTAGTAACTATTAAATTTCAGAAGGACATACTATAGTCAGCACATGCTTTACCAAAAATCTATACCTGGAGTGCTTCTATGTCATCTTTACCAATTTCTCGTTGGGCCTGAATAAGAAACCCGAAACATAGTAGAAAAGAGTAATACTTACCTTTAAACGAATTATTAGTATCTAAATCTCATTTTCTCTTAATATCCTACCAGTGGAATAGCATAAACTAAAAACGGGCGAAATGTGAAACTGTACGTAAGCTGATTACGTCTTGAAAAAAATACGTTATTAGCAGCGTTAACCGTATGAGCTGAGAACTGTTTTATACTTATATGCTATATATAGATATAGTATGCTATATTCTAGGGGAATGTTAAGACGCACTGCCCTTCTGTGCAGAGAAATGTCGATTTGATGCTGACAATGTATCCTATAACCTCAAAATGAATTGAGAATTGTGCGTAAAATATTGAAAATTGCAGGACATAGTTTCACTATCTATCGTAACTAACGTACGTCTAACGAGCAAACTTATAATGAAGTATATGTAACTGGAAAAAGTGGGTTTTTATTAAAAAGAGTGTAAAGAAATTTCCCACAGATTCTGAGACTAATGAGAGGTGCAGCCAGTATATATATATATATATATATATATAGTACAAAGGGGAAAGCTGAACTAAACAACATTTAATGGCTACGATTGCAATAAATTTTGCAACATCTTTACGAAGCAATTTTAAACTATTTCAAACGACGCAACCCCTACCGTTTCTAGCAATTGATACTTGCATTCCCATATAAACCCGCGACTAATCAGCATCATTTGCTGGCCGCTTGTACTTCTTTCCAGACAAACATAAAGACATCTGCGGCGAACTCGAATAAAAAAATAGCTAAAAACTATTGGCGAACCGGAATATCTGCTAAAGAAGCGCTACTACAAGGTACTTAGCTCCTGTTGGCACATTAGCAAAGAAAAAAGGAACACACCCACATCCGCGTGATGTGCCTTCAATAATGCCAAGAGGCCCTTTGCAAGGACATTCGGTCCTCGCTGATTTGTTGGCCGCTCTTAACCATCTAGGTTTAAAGTTTAGGAGACTGAATTCTCTACGTCTATTGAGATAGCCTACTGCATTGTGAACCACTTCTTCAGTGCAGTTAGCAAAGTCAAATCCTATTCCTGAGCCTAGGGTGCCTTATAGTTTTGCGTTACCCCGCTCTTCCTAACTTCCATCTTCTTCGCAGCACACGTAATCAAACGACGTGAAAACCTCAGAGCAGCCTATAACGCTTTCTCCACAGCGGCACCTCGTTTAAGGTGATCCACCTATCACATTTGTATTTGACCCTTCAATTTCCACCAGCTCCTTCTCACTCCACTTCGAGTGTGTCACGTTATTCCAATTTACAAAAGTGGAGAAGCCAAAACTCTTCCTGACTTTTACTAAGCCATCGCTATACCATACTTTCACTATAGTGTTCTAAAAAAATGTGTTCAACCCCGATTTCCGTTCCTGTTAGATGAACATAACCTCATCTCCACCCCACGGTTTGGTTTACGCACCAAATATTGAATGTAAGTAACTGACAGAAGACATTAGCTAACCCGGAATAATTGGTAATGTTGCATCGGGCAGCTATTTTGATGTGGCAAAAGTACTTAATCTTCTTGATCACAAAGTTCTAAGCAACATTTTATCCTACGCGCGTAGGCTTTACAGAATGGCTAACAGTGCTTCTCTAGTGGTAAATATACCAGGGGTTCTTTCATATCACCACTGCAGTGCAAGAACACTGCTTTGGCCAACCCCTTCTGAACGGTGTCAGCTAAAACAGTGTTCTTGAACTTGCTTTTGACCTGCTATACGTCAGACCTTATATTCCGGCAGGTAATCAGGTGCCCGCTGCTGATGCTATTTGTGTCTTCGTCGACGACATGGGTACTGCAGGCCCAACATTCTTGTTCCTCCAACATCGTAGCTACTATTTAGTTGCTCGAAGCTTTTCGCAAAGTGTATGGATCACTGAAGCCATCTGAATATTGTATTCCCTCAAATGCCGTATATTTCTTATAAAATACTAACTACACTAATTAGATAGTTTTTAGCCTTATCATAACATTAAAATAAGATCTCTATCTATATCAATGAAATTATCTACAAGTAATTGAGAATCCTTAGCTTGCTGTCAACATTTGGCTATTTGTCCGCTCTTATCACTAACAATACCCTCGATCTAGAAAGCTCAGTTTCTTTTCATTGATGCCATACTGCATAACTGCTCAGGATGCAAGTTTGTGCTGCTACGATGAACATACGTTAATTTCAAATGAGAAGTGTGTGAATATAGATGGCTATGGTAGGACCTATATGTGGTAATGGTCGACGACTCTCATCGTAGTCCATCTTAAGTCTATGTGGTTTTTACGACACATGATACCCTAGAAGGTTTAATCATGATCCGACACCGCGTGCACCCAGTCCTAAATTTCTATACCAGCTTACTGCAAGTATAAGCAGGACATCGTCAAGGAGACAATGGGCGAAAAGTAGCAGTAACTGTAAGCGGCTCGCCTCGGTTGTTTCTGCTGCAGATCCTCAACCTTACGCAAAAAGCGAAGTGACGTACGAGTACCGTATTTGCTCACCAGTGGTGCTCTTATACTTGACAACGGTTAGTGTTTTCATTTTATAATATAGAGTGATTTGCGTTCCTGTGTTCCGCATTTTGCTCCCGGAATAATTAGGGTATTACTGTGGGACGCGTTGTTTGTTGTATAGCAAATATCTTTCTTCGTACTAAAGATTTAATCTTTATGTAGATCTAAAGTTATTACTACGTCCTAGCTGTACATCGCTTTGAACGCATCTTCGCAAAAAGCGTGGAGGTGATTTTCTGGCGTCCAGGTATACACCTATATTTCTATATTAAATCAACGAATAAAACGTTCTAACGAATGTCTACGCTTTTCGTATTCTTCTGGCGTCGTACGATCGGTCGTGTTCGCACAGACACAAAGAACTACCGACACTCACGCAACTAACACACAATCCTCATAACAGCAATATATGTATAGTAGTATTGTAAGCATGTCGTCCACGTTCCCGTCGTTGGTCGCAGCTTGCCTTTTGTCTCGTTAGTAGACTTTTTCCAGTAGCCACTGAAAGTGCTCTATGATTTGTGTATTTGACCGATAACAGTATCAGGCCTATCTGCCCCGCCCACAGAAACAATGTCTACGATCATAGCGATAGCAGCAGGCAGCAGGAAGATCTAAAATGAACAACAGTCCTAAGGCCCACCTCTTTCAATAGTGGCTCGGCGACAGAAATACAAATAATATGAATAATACACAACAACTATGACGCCAACGACTTGAACAAGCTAACAACAAAATAGAGAGGAAACAACAAATTGTTGCTGGCTCAACCAACGCGTTTTTGCCTCGCATTTCTTTTTCGCTTCTCTTTGTTCGAAAGGACAAAGGGGCAAAGTTGTTGGGTAATCGTCCCACCGTTTGTGGCGTTTACGTTGTATCATCCAAGTATACTTGGGCTGTATAGGTATACAAAATTACGAATCGCTTTGTAGAAAGCGCAAAGGGGGCTGATGCTAAGAAACAGTCTTATTGAACACACGGCTACACAGATCCGCGCGACTGCCTACAGTGATTATGGCAATGAACGGTGGCTTTTCTTCTTCTAGACTTAACGCTGAGCAAATGGACGAAAAATGGTCTATATATGTAGGTTTTTCAAAGGAACAACAGCATGTCATCAAGAACCTATGAAGCGGTTATTCCACTGTCATTTTTCTAATATCTTTGCGTTTATTGAATGTGTCCTTGTGTCGATGAGCATCGTGCGCACTTCTCCGACCCCCTTGCCCGGCAAAGACTCACATATACATTCACAAAAATCTAAACTTTTCCGCCTGTTCAGTCGCCTCTCGAAGAGACCGACGTAAGGTTAAGTCGTCTTATGGCCTTAGCTAGTTGTCCAGAATAAGTAAAACAGGCAACGCGATAGGCGTCGCCGTAACGCTGGCAGTCTGGAACGGAGTAGTAGCCACTTGTACCAGCATTAGATAGGGGGCTCAAATGAGAGTTGCACCTCACAAGCGACTTACGATGGAGGTTAACGTTTGGTCAAACACCAAGTAACGGCTTTACTTTTTCCAGGCCATAGAGCATGAGTGGTTTTCACTATAATAACTTCTCTAGCTGATACATCTACTGGTAGTAGGCTTTGTTCTGACTTCTATAATATATGTTCATCGAACAGAAGCAGATGTTTCAGTTTCTTCAGCTATCTCACTTCTGCACCAATACGTCTACTAAATAATGGCTCGAGTTTTCGCAGCAAATCACGGCCATAGACGTAACCAAGAATGGAAGAATGAGTTCAATTAATTAGTCCAGTAGCTGAATAAGATCGAGGAAAAAAGTCGTGAAGAAAACGTACCTTCCGTTCTCGAGCAGTCGGGGATAGTTGCACCGCCGAAACGATCCAAAATAAACTGTCGTTCGATTGAAAATTTCCCCTTGAATCCAGAACGGCAAGTAGAAACCCACGCCACTAAGGACGGCTGAACTGAGTGACAGGATAGCCCACAACACGCCAATATTCGTAAGCGACGAGTTGATCGTGGCGGCCGGCAATACCGCTTTTGTCCCGGGAACCGTCATCGTGCGCGTCGCCTGGAAAGTTGTACGGAATGTAATAATAGGTAAGACCTACGAATGGTGTTGGTAGGTGTACGCATTTCTTGCCGCTCTGTTCCTTTCATTTGTACAACATTCCTTTCCTCGCGATAATCTCAAATAATAATTATTTGAAACTTTATTTTCTACCTATAATTGTTCTAAGAGAAGATAATAAATAAATCTGTTATTTTTTTACTTATTACCATAACAGATTACTATTGTTTTACTACGTGCTCTCCGCCTATATATTTAGAGAGACATGATCTACCATGTAGATGATTTGGCATTACAACTATATACTCCCCCCTCCCTCCCTGATATCGACGAGGTGCAAAAAGCGATTGGCTTGCTTAAAATTACCCTAAATAATTGATCGAGCCAGCCGTAATTTAATCTAAACTTTATTTCAACTAGTAGCTCTGGTACGAGCATGCATCTGTTTTCGTATATCTCGGGCGTTTTGGATTTTGTCTGCACCGTCTAAAGACCAATTGCCCCTGACGACCAGGCATACCACAGCTCGAATCTCGAATTCTTCATGAAGTTCCTCATGCCCACTTTTCAAAGAGAACACGATAGGGAACTCGTTCTATAGCAACGATACACTCTTCTCATCAGCGCAAGAAGTCGACAATGAACGCATTGTGCGCCAGTCTCAATGGTGGCCGTGCTACACATAATGATGATCAGTGTCGTCAAGGGGCCTTTGTATGGCAAATAGCCGCCTACCCAGTTGCCTCGGGCAAAGCAGTATAATGCAGAATAGTGCTTACTACTACTGGTCGCCGATAACAACAACAACAACAACAAACAAGCTCTCTATATCTGTAGGATCTGCAGGTTCAACCTGCTGTTGCTAGAAGAAATATTGAATCCTATCTTATATTAAATTACCTAAATGAAAATACCTACTTCTAGGCGCCGAGTAGTTGTAAACAGTATAAAACAGCAATATAAAGCATTGCACGACGTTTTACGTAAATTTATGCTCGAGTGTTGCATTCATTGCTGAAATGAATTTTATAAAAGCTGTAGCATATGTACAAAGTATAATGCAGGTATTATAATTTTTTTTTTTTTCATATATAACGGCTATATTCAATTACAATGGAATAAAAGCGTTCAGTTTGTAAGCAATAAAACAGTTACCTCGACTTATCAAATACAGTACAGCCATAAGCTGTACGCTAAATAGGGACTCTATAAACCGTTGCTGATCCTTTATCTGATCTAATTTTTTCTAAAGTGAATATTTATTCGATCTATAAAATTTAAGCCAAGTTCGCGGTGTGATGCGGTCACCGTGTTGTCTGCTTCATAATTTTTAAAGAGTACTATCTTCGTGTATTGTACGTTTTTACGGTGCGGTATTTTGTATGTACTGCTGCGTTTATAGGGTATTCCAAGACAAATACTCTCAACTATGTGAAAGATGTGGCGAATCTCCGGTGCAGAAGTAACCGACTATATATTGGTATATCTGGAAGTCAATGGTCTTTGAAGTTACATCATTATAACAATTATTTTCTACATTCAGCGCCTATAAAGGGTAATAACTTAAAAAATTCGGAGATGCATAACAAAAAACAATTGTGCATTGTAGGTTCTACGTAAGAAAGTTAGCCCTGGGTAAAAAACAAAAAATTCAAATCGTTCTCTATGGCTTGATTAGAATCAATACAATCACTAAATTAATTAGTATAGCGTGTGCTTAAAAGGCCGCAAGTATCTTAAGCCTTCAATAAACTATAATTAATTTACCTTTTGAGACCACGATTGTAATTACCGCAATCTTGATCTGCAGAAGATGCCAATTATCTTACGAAATTGGTAGGAAAGGAGAACTACTTTTAGTAACGCTTTTTTTTTTTTTTTTTTCGTTTTTATAAAAGTACACCACGACGTTACATTCTGAATTTTATTAATTTGTTAAACCTATGGCATTTTGCTGAGGAGGAACTATTTGCCATATTGGCACTTTGCCAGAAGAGCCACTGATTCTAGAGCATCCAGGAGTGTTTTCGAATGATTCGAAGTGTATTGTGTTATAAGCTTTTTGCTTCGTGTACCATTATAAATAACAGCCTAAGCAGTAAAAGGTAAATCTTTTATTTACTATGATAATTTATGTTTCTTTTCAGGGTATATATAATTATCTCCTTATGCGCATTTTCGTCCTCTATTCTGCATTCAGTATATATGCAGAGACAGTTTTTTTCAGCACAATGTATTAGCATTCAAAATAGCCGCCTTTTCGCTGGCGTACTGCAAAGCAATCTTGCGATTTGCTTATTCGTCGTTGCCATTATCGTCGGAGACGGAACAGACAAATGGCTCCAAGATCAAACCTTATTCTGTGCCTGTTTCTCTGCGGCCATTTCCGTCGCCGGTGATTGCTCTTATGACACACAGGCACACTCTTCCAGCGAGCTTTCAGATTATTCGAATGGTTCCCATTCTCCAACTGTTAATGTTGTCAGCCTTTCTACTCTCATGCCATTCCTACTGAAGCTTTCTGCGTCGACCACCTTCTCGCACTCGGCCACTTCCTACTTTTGCAGTACGTTTTCTAACAGGCCGAGAAACAGAGATCCTAGTGAGCCTGAGTGACACTGCGAAAGCGAAAGACGGACTGGAACTAGCTATTTATTTCTCTTCTAGGAGAGCATTGGTGAAATCACAGTCTTCTCAGTGGAGTGCTAGCAAATCATATGCGAGAGGCTTCTTTTTTCATCTGCCTCAGCTGCATCGTGCTCTTCGTTTGTTTCCTTTGCTCCAACAGCCCTTCTCAAGCCCATGCCAATACTCTTCATTCTTATATATGTGTACATATATATTTGCACCGAATGATGCACATTTTCGAATCAAGAAAGGACAATGGAAGGAAACGAAGAAGGTTTGTTGTTACTATTGGCCGATTCGCCCTTAGGCGCATCAATCACACTTGGTCGCAATGGCTACGCATTATCTCTTTTTTTTTTTCCTCTTCTTCCTATTTTCTCATTTTTGGTAATTGGCTGCTCAAAAAAGGGGTTATGCGTGCTTAAGGAAATGGAAGATGTTAGCAGCACTAAGAAAAGCGTCCTTCCTCCTACTCGTTTCCCTTTTGTTTAAACACGCGGAGGAAGCCAAGCGTCTTGGCGTTTGACCCACCACTACGACGAACCGGAAACGAGAATAACGAGGTGGAAAACGGCGACTACATCCACCATTTAGACGCGCCTTGCGCGTGTACTTAATGTTCGCTTTCCCAGACAGAGTCTGCCACACTCCATACCGTGAACATCGAAACCCTGCCCACTATGAATGCCGCCCGACCTCTCTGTTCATTTCAGCTGCCAGCAACGCTCTTCCGCTTAGCAATCCATTCTGCACAAGTCCAACTTTTTACCCCTTCCCTTCCCTTCTTTTTTAGGAGACAGTGGCAGATGCGTTACTACACCCGTTCACCTCACTAGGACAAGAACAATTTACAGCAAGCCGACGACCATTAAACTTCAATTTGAAAGCAACGTTATAGTCTAACAGTAATAAGCGCTGACTATCCACCGTAGCATTCGCCACTTCTGCTTCTGCTGGGCTAACGACAGTTCATTGCAAAAAAGCGCCACCGTGTCGCGCGAGAATGGAATAGAATCTATTCGCCGATAGTTTGTGTGGCAATCCGCTGTGCAACACGCACACGATGATGCCGCTTGGTTAATATCGACGCGTCCAGTCGTGGGGACAGAAGGTACAGCGTCTTACCCTTTCGCCGGCATCATTGTCCTCATCTTCGTGTAAAAAAATCCTTCGCGATCTTAGATGATATTGTACGCGTTGGGCATCGCTTATTGCAGAACAGTCGAAATCGAATACAAAGGAACAGCTACTTAAGGTCTTATCAGAGATAGCTTACGGGATTTTTCACGAATAGGACTAGATGTTATTTTTGAAGGAAGTGTTGTTGAGGTATCGCCTCAAGCTACGATAACTTGTTACTTACTATGCTCTACATAAACCACTTCGATGTATAAGCTGTTTTTTTCCATGTTACTGTGCTAACCCCTATGAAGAGATATGATATTGGATTACGATAAGTGTTCAAGATGGTCTTAACGACACTTATTTGATGACTTCTTCATGTTGTATTTGTACAAAATCTGGGGGTACAGAGTAAACACTAAAAAAATAAACAGACCGATTTAACCTGCAGAACCTTTTCCAGCGAGAACCCTTTGTCGAAATCTTTTTGTTAGTTCTCGCTCTAGTGCCCGGGTGCGCTCGTTCATTATTGTCTGCCTGCTGATGGAGTGACGAGAAGGTATTGGCTTCAGTTTGATCTGAAGAACACATGAATAGAGAAGTAGATTACTTATGCAGTCACCTGCAGAACGCAAAACACGCTCAGTCGCCTAAATCGGAGTTGGGCTGATCAGCGGAAGAAGGTTCAGTACAGACTCAAAAAAGCCGGCTGTATGTTTAAGTGGTTTGAAGAATCTGAATATTATCTGTAGTGAAATGTATACTTGATAATCCTTTTGAGCTAGACATGAGTCGGTGAGGCATCAAGGGTAAGTTTATTTCGAAACGGTCATTTTGCGCCTGGACAACTGACAAGACAGCCGATGCCCAGAGGGCAAACAAGCCATTAGTATTGTCTCGTTTTTCAGATACTCAAAGAACACCTCTACGGAATCTTTACTGTAATGTAATTAGCAGACATATTTTCAGTGTGCGAATACTAGTTGAATAATAATTATAAAATCTGCTCCGAAGCTTATTAGATGGTCAAACATCTTCGAGCTTAAATTTCATAAGGACTCGACCTTATCGAAAAACAACATCGATTAGGACGTAGCTGATTATGTTATAATATATGCATTGTAGAAGCAATATAGGTGAACGCACGCCAAGGGCATCTGAAGCCATGATCAATTAGAGTGTTCTGAATATTATTGACTGCTCCGGTGGCAATGCATGAGCAATCGCTGAGTTGCTTAGAGTCAGAAAACCAAAGATTTCTGTAGTGGGTATCTGTATAATGGATATGTATGTCAGGGACAGGCATAGGGAATAGCTAACGATTCTAACCCGCTGCATGGCTTCCCACGGTATTTTTCGGCTCAGTGGCTTTTGTCAACGTCTTCCTTTCCGGAACTGATAGTACATACATGACTATTTCCAATCAGTTCAATACTGTAACAAGCATAAACTGTCTACTCGTTTGCACCTTAATCAAAGGTCCTTTAGCGAGTGCACCTTCAAATTCAGCATCCTGCCGGTACGAGAAATATAGTTGTCGGCGTTTCGAGTACTAAAGTTTTTGCGTTTTTACACAATAACCCATAGAGAAAATGCAGGTATCATATGAATTTATTTCAAATCAGTTAAAAATCGCATTACATTATCGCCATTTTTTACAACGCTAACAAAACTTAACGTCAACGTAAAGTACGTTTGTAACACTGGAACGTTTTTTATGGTAACAAAGATTATTTCTGCTTACTATTATAGGACATCCTCATAGCGGAGTGTAGACACTATGGTCGTTGTAAAACATATATTACATTTACCTGAGAGAAAATAAAGCCCTTGTTAATCGTCAGACCCAAGTTATTCATTACCAATTAATAAGGAAATTTCAGCACTACGTTATGATTTACCCAACATCATTTTTACTTTAGCGAAATTTTCCGCCACTGGTCCTATCCTATACAAGTTGGGGCCACATGTATAGCGGCCGGAGCTTCTCACGCTGCTGGGATACAAAGAACTGTTTCGCCCATGATAAACTATTTGCAGGGATGATGAACCTTTGGCCGTTCATCGGAGTGAGTGCCCATAAATCCGACCAACTGAGCTTCGATGAAAGCTCTCAGCAAACTACTTGCGGGCAACGAATGATAGATCAGAATAATCCATGTTTGAAGATCATGAAATAAACCCAAGAGGTCGTCCTCAACGGACAGTGTCACGGGTCAATAATTTCCACAGGTTTATATTTGCGTTATTAAAATATCATGCAGACCTTATAGTAGATAATACTTCTATTGTATGAAAGCAAGGTGCATCATAGATACTAAAAATTAATCCGTCTCACAAATAATTTGTATTCCATACATAGAACTAAAAACGCTTTTTTTGTCGAAACGTAACAGAGGGGATTACAAATAAAAAATCATTATATTATCGGTTCATTATTATAAACAAATCAAATTAAAAATGACAAGTCGTTCTAACTGATTAAACACAATTAGATAAAATCGATGTTGATACATCAAAGAGCGGAACGGTATTGGTGTCTAGAGAGCTCATTCTCACAATATAGTTTTTTTTTTTTTAACTGGAACTTCAGATATATCTGCAATATGAGGCTGGCAAAAAACTAGTGGCTCTTTCTCATCTAATAGAAAACCATAGCATCTCAACTAAATTTTAGCAACATTATACATTTGCTGTCACTTTGTAAGTAATAATAACAAATCCCGCCAAAAAATTCTAAGTCTTTTTGTATCGTCGTCAAATATACTGTTACCAATATTAATAGGTCAGTTATCGAAGCAGGTGGTAATACGCCGGTGCGATATCTAAAGGATATGGTCAGTGCAAAAAAAATGATTTTTGCCATGTGTATTCGGCATCGTCACGGTGAAGGATGATGTTAACTTGCCTATCGCGCTTTTTTTTGTTGGACTGAATATACTAGGACCATATATAAATGTTTTTTATACGGTCCTTGCTTTTTTCAAACATTTTCTATAGTATAAATCGCCCTGAGACCCCCAAGGTTAAAATCACGCTCTATTTTGGATCGAGCGTAACCATGGTCTTATGCTCTTACCCTGAATTTTTTTGTGCTGATGTAATGGGCCCACTTTCCAACCTATAATTATTGTGCAGTAATCTGTCAATGTAGCTTCGTATTATTCGACGCCAGGTTAGGTATTGAATGATATATAACGAGAAGTCGTGTTCCCTTATGTCTCTCACAGGGCACCAGACTTCCCTCTGATTTTTGATAAAATATTATGGATTCCAGACGACTGACGATAATAGGATCTTTGCGATCCCTTTTTGGAGTACTTAGCAAGTTGTCTGTCAAAGCTTTTATTAACTTTGATTGCCCGATTAGTGGAAAGTGGTGATCGGGGGAGAGTGATGCGCGTCTTCCAACTCTAAGTTACCGGTGGTTATAAGTTAGTGGGCCTCCTTAAAGAGGGCCCATTAGCTATAGGGTCCTCACTGTGCATGATACAAATACACCAGGCTGCATTATGTCAGGCTTATTTGTCCTTTGGTATACCTAAGAGAAAAAGGGTCAAATGATCTCTAGAAACAAAAAAAAAACAGTGGAGAAACAAAGGAGTAAATAAACATTTGAAGAAAGCAGTCATTACTTCTTAACTGTTATACCATTATCCGAAACCGTCGAGAGATGGCACTTACAAGCACTTATAGTGTGACATGACAATTCATATGAAAAGCACTAAGGTCGTAAACGGTATATTTTGCTTCAGATAGGAAGTAGAGACCTACATAAAAAATAAAGATTGCATTGGAACAGAGTGATAAGCATGCCCTAGAGGAGCAAGGATGGGCCAGCTAAAAGCGTTTTCTTTATTTTCACTCGGTACACTTTTTAGATAAATAGAAATGGTACTAATTTGTAATGTTTATATGAATACCCAACTCAATAGTCGTCGGTAGCAGCAGATCAAGATCAACCTTACCAATCTGGTAAAAATAGATACTGTGATAGATCCTTTAACCCTATTGAGAAATATGTCACAATAAGATACTACATGTAGCAATTGTTTGAGGATCGAGCATTTTGGGACGAGTCCATTTTGTTCCAATAATATGTATATAATAGTGTCCAGTCTTTTCAAACCATAAATCAAAGAAACCTGGCGATGGTTTTCTATATACGCCACTTTGTTGAAAAGCAGCACTACATATGAACAATCTGAGCAGTTCCGGAACCGGATTCTCCCCTTGCTCAAATTTGGTAGGACAAAAGCTAACGAAGCTGTTCATTTTCACGGTCTACTTAAACTACTGAACAATGAAATATGGGTTGGGTTCGTAGATTTCTCAGGATGTTACGATTGGCAACCATGAAACAGGTAACCATTGCTGGTTCACAATATAGCGCTGGCAAATGATCAATACAGCATATTGTTACTAGGCAACTTTTCTTAGAGAAAAATCCAGATAATGCCTAACAACTTAAATACTAAACAATAATGAGGTACGAGATAGACGAGTGAATACCTTCTACATCTGCTTGCTGTAGCTACTTACTAAGGATCGTCTTGGCTTGTGCGACCAAGAGCCACCTTCCGTAATGACGACCCATTCCTGCTTCCAACCGAGAGGTGGGGACCTTTCATCACTTCTTTTTTTACTACTTTTCGCTTAAGTTCAATGATTAACATGTTGTTCTTGATTTAGGACTATTCAATCGTCTTTCTAATAAAAAAAAAAATTCGAATGCACTTCACAAAGTAGACGATAACTTGGACACTAATTTTTCTTGCGGGTCGCATTAAATAAATCGTCCTGTCGAGTGACGAAGTCCACGAGAAAACTAGGGTTAACTTATCCCGAACGAGGCGATGGTAATGTGGGCATCGACTGCTGGCTGCAAGTTAATAATGAAAAGAGCATGTTGAGTCAAGCTTAGATAGTTACTGCATCTAAACTAGTGATTCTAACCAGATCAACAAGAGCTAACGAGGCAGCATATCTATGATGATTTAAGTGTGCCTTCTAGCAAATGCCACAGACTTTATATCCTTGGGCTTCGCTTCCTAAATATGCATACGGTCTCTCCGTTACATTTCAACGACTGCCGTTTCTGAGGGAACGCGAATGATACGACTTTGACAGCATTAGCGAATTATCAATACACGATGACCACTGAATGCACGGACATATTCACTAATGCTATTTGCTCCTGTAGAATTCGCTCCTTGTTATGGGCGAGAAATTGGCCACAGACTGTTATATTGTGAACGACCGGAAGAGTTTTTATATGGCAGTCTGTATAGTTTTTATTCCTTCAGTCTGCTTGCACATTTAATAGAAACCAGTTGAATATTTCTATATGTCTCGGCCGTGTTAACTATGGGCGTCGAACGCCTCCCGACACGGAAAAACACTAAGCATAGTCTACGTGGCCCCTGTTATCTATTTGCTACAGTCTGTTCTTAAAGCTGGAAATTCCGCTACTAATTGACGCGGTTTCACCACCTGTCCCTTTGAGCACTTTCTCTTACTATATTTTCACACAGCATGGCCACTCGTGCCGGCATATGGCGACTGACTGACTGACTGACTGACTGAGTGATTAATTACTTTAAAAGACGCCGATTTAATCCACTGATGTTTGGCTCTTACGTGAAGCGTTCCGTTCACAGTAAATAACTATACACGGATTCTGCGCACCCGTTTTCCGTTATAAACGCACGTTTCGGTGACTCTGCCGGAAATGGCGACTTCGGTGTGCATCTATGTACATAGGGGATGACGTCTGTTTGGCTTCTAGACAGACACAAACAGCCGCAACTGGTTACGTGCAGGCTGTGAAATTTATTAGGTTCAGCTTGACCTTCGAGTCCTGTGCTCTTCTAGAGGAAAGGAGAAAGACAGTGAAAGTGAAAGATATCTGATTGGTTGTGCGACGACGAGTGTTGAGACGCGATTTTGCGCCTTTGAGATACACCGTATGTATCACACTCGAAAATCCTTTAGGAACCATAATAGAAGGAATAGTAAAAGGAGTTGCATTTTGCTACCGCCGCCCTCGGTGGCTAATAAAGCAGAGCGAGGCGAACCAATTACGTCGTCCATTGATATAGCGCATGCTCAGAGATAGCTGATGACATCGGTACAACCACACACATCGGTAGTCACCTTACTACTATTACTTTGCTTACAGTGGTTCGGTTATACCACTGATGAGAAAAAGCGAACGAAACTTTATCAAAAAGCGATAACGACGATAGCCACTGCCGGTTGTTGCAGACGATATTTGAACTCTGCAGTGTAGGTCACTTAAATATCTGTGCTCCTTTCTCGTTGAAGGGAGGGCCGTTCGACAAAGAGGCCATTAAACGGCCTCTCATAGGCAAAAGAAGATCATAGAGCAAATGGTAGAAGCCCGTCGTAACAACACAAACAAAGGCCCCCTAAACGTTCTCCGATTCTCAACGAAAACAAACCAGCCATAGCTAATTTACAACTTTAATTGACGGGGGAATTTTTACTAAGCGTAGGACAAATACCGAATGAACATAAGTCGGGCAGTACATTGATGGAATAAAGAAAACGAGAAAGCACCAAGTAGAGCCCCCTGTCGACGATGTCAATAATAGTTAGAATCATAGCAATTCCTAAGCAGTCTCGATCTGTGTGAAGCTCTGTATTGTCCATCTATGTGTCTATAAGTGGACAGTAATTCAAGTAGTCAATATCATGTAGGAGGCCGGTACATGCAATACTTGATACCGGGTTGTAAGAATCAAGATTTCGCGAGTCTATGTATAATTATATCGTATAATCCATGCGTATCACAGATCAAATATATGCTATATACACACGTGGGATGCATCTTCAACTACGACGTCTGATTATCGTCTAGACGTTTTTTTTTTGATTTTGTGTCAAGTGCTTGATTAAAAGTATTGTCTTTGTAAGTACTTGATTCATTAAATTATTATGACTGGTATAACATGTAAAGCCGAGCGCATTTCATTCATTCATTCATTTATATGTAACAAACGGAACTTCAGATAAGGTGCAAGTATAAAACGTATTATAGAAAAACTATCTTCCTGTCGCTGGGATTCCTTTTGTTAGCGTCAAGAGCAAGATAATTAAATTATCTACAGATATGTTTCTTCACTTCGCTAGGCCACCGTGAAATTATCCTGTGATATTTGCGCAAGGGAAAAATCCGTTCATCTTTGACCTGCCTGTCAGATGGGTCTATTTTATTTGATGTCGTGTTGACTTATTGCGAGCGAGCCACCCCTTGGTCCCAGGAACGAGAACTCGCTGAAGACTTCCTGTAATAATCAGTACGTAAAATTCCTCAATAAATAGAATGAATAGATTTAAATAACGCTTGTCATGGCTAATGGACCGCTACGCTCTCACGTGCGCACAAGTCAACTATGGATACTGAAATGAGACAAATCAGACAATCTCGCTGGCCGATTCTTTAGTACTTTATATTATCGAAACGGTAAAGTCGAGCGACGATCTCTTATGACAGACCATTCAGTTTTCTAGTAGATAAAAGCGGGCCAAAATGGTAAGTGGCCCCGACTGAACTCGTACACCCTGAAACGTTCACAACTTTGAAGCAAAAAAGAAATCAACTTCGTATTATTTAGGGGTGTTTCCTCCTTGTAGCTTGCATGCTGGAGTCAGCATTCTGAGGTAGGTTTGCCATCTGTCGCTTGCCTGTCTATATTATACACTGTATACGAAGTGCCCTCTCGATTGCGTGGGGGCAACTACCAAGATTAGTATGGTCGAATAATCTAACCGTTCTCTGTTTAAGTCGCAATACGAGCTATAGGTTGTTACATCATTTACCTATGAAGCTTTTTTTCTTCGTGGACTCTCGACAGGCCGGTTTATGAAGGAATATGGTGTACGATATCGTTATCTAACAGGCACTATGCAAAAAATGATGTTAGTTGATGATAAGGATTATAGAAAAAAAAACCAGCAATGCTCTTACTAACTGCTGCAATTTATCACAGAACATCAATAATCTCTGTCGAATTCAATGACTATCGCCAAGATACGTCTAAGAAAACATCAAAAATAAAGTATTTCATGAAAAAGAGTTGATGTTTCAAGCGTTTACAATTAATTGTAATTATATAACAAAGACGTTTTTCACGCTTGTCTTGTTCAAGTATAGATTGTCGCAACAGCTTATCAAAATGCTAATGCAACACACGTTACGTCGTAGAACAAAGCGGGGGCTTATTAAGTAAAAATATTCATAATCGCCTATTAAATACAAACCTAGGTGGTATAGGACGTGTGTAAATTCCCAGTTATGCTAAAGCCGTGAAACGGTGTAGATCCTATTCCTTGTAAGTTCTCGCTGCATCGCGAACAAATCACAGCGTCGACGAGTCTCGAAGTAGGCTAAGGGGGCCCTAAATATACTTTTTAGTTAATTGAAACTGGCAGAGAGGAGACGTATTTGGAGATTTCATTGCAGAACGCTGAAAGGCCTCGCGGAATCGAGAAAAATTTTCGGTGTTCTCTTCGACCCAATTAAAACTGTAGTTCTCTTCGAAATAGAGTTCGAAAATTCTCTCAAAGAAACGCATTACACCGTCCTTGCTGCTGGCGTCTCTTTCATACACACATAATGCTAATAATATATTAATAAACATATATATAAAATTGAAGAAAGCATATCCATACCATCACGGATGATCATAAGCCAAGGTCATACTGGGGTTTTCATTTCCCAAAAAATAACGTTTCTGAAACCGCGAATAAGACACGTCAGCCAGATGAAACATTCGGAACGTGAAAGAGTCCAATAAATCCTCTGACATCCAAAACCACGGGAAAAGCTGATGCCAATTGATAAAGAGCGTTTTGTTTCCGATTAAATATGCTGCATAATAACTGAAACACGCTTTATAAACATTGTCATTAAATGTCTGTCCAGTCGCTGCTAGCCTGTAAGAAAATGGACACATCTGTCTTTTAACTTTATCCACAGTGACATTAGAAATCAAAACAGACGCAGTCAGAATCCATCTTGACCTCGTTACCTATGACGAGCTTTTTGTGGACAGCGTTTTGTAAAAGTGAAAATAAAAAGATACATCTCATAGAAATGAATACGTCACCTCACTGAATCAGAGCTGACGAAGGCAGGCTTGCTTTATCCAGATGCTTTATAGAGTACCGAGCGTAACATTTAAAGGCTATTTGAGCTGCTCTGACTAATACAGTAGATAATAGAAAACATTAGCACAATGAGGAATCGAGTACTCGATAGTTGAAGTAGATTAGTATTGGGATTATGTAACTGATTAAATAAATGATTAAAAAAATATAAATGGAACACGTGTATATTACTGCTTTTTTTTGTTTCGGTTTCTATTGTAAGTATCGCAAGTAATCTATCTCATCAAATCTACTATATATTATAAAAGTCTAATGAATATGGGCTGGTGAATAAACTATATTGAAAATACTGTGCCTGCTGGGTTTGTAAATGCTGCCTGAACTCGTTTAAATCTTTTGTAGCACTTCTTTTTGTTCGAGATAGGGGTTTAATCAGTTATTTCTTTTGGCTCGTAGTTTGGGTTGCCCTATCTTCAATACAAAATTTCATTGCGTTTATTGGTGCTACCACCTTGTTCGGGCTATTATAGCGAGCTTATTGAAGAATCTGACCGTTCAGTTCTGGTGACCATGAATGCCTGGCTGTTCCCCAATTTTTCACGTTCTTTCCAAATTTTTTCCAAAAATTTATTTGAGAGAGAACGGAACCTGGCAATAGATCACACAATGATTTTTAGTGCCAGCAATGATGGTGAGTTGCTCATCTTTTAAAAAAATTGTGTGATCGTAGTTGGATTTAAATTTTTTACGCCCATGCATCTGTGAGAGATATCAAGTATCCCTTATTATTTGTAATGACTATCGAATATAGTTTACTTCATCTTATGTTGCTTTCTAGCCTCGTTCGCGGAGATTTTGTTTATCCATTTATATTCAACAAACGGGTGTGCATTTGGTGGAAAAGCCAGAGTCTAAGCTTCACCATCGACACATAATACATGAACAAATAGAGCTTTAAGGTTTTTGCGAAACCTTGTCCTTCTTCCAAGCAGAATCCATAGTTGTTCCACATGTTAATATTTTAAACACGAAAATTTAAGCATTATATGGTTCACTCATATGCGTCCAATCACTCACAAGTACCTGGTCTTCGATTCTGAACATTAACTAACAACTTTCTAAACTGTAAGTTACAAAAACCAATCGGTAAACACTCGGGTTATTTTGTCTGTTATGAATGTTGTTAATGTTTTCAGGTTCGTATCCTTAAAACTTGTGAAGTTTATGGCACCAGCCAGTTGACAATATGTAAGTTTATTATAACTATTATAACTGCTTTGCTCATGATTGTTTCGTAGCAAGACGAAGTTGTTAAACGCTCCGAGTCTGTTGAATGGCTCTGTATTGCAATGACGTATCGAAGCTCCCTGTCCACTATCGCAAGTCTCTCAAATTCAGGTGCTGGTTATGCCTACCAGAAATGAGAAACAACAGCCATTATAATGAAGATAGGCTTAATTCATTTGAATTATCTTCGAGACAAAAAGGAAATATATGTTTTTGAGATGTCTAACATTCGATATCGATGCAAAGTGAAAAGGTAACTGGGGCAATTTCTAGCCGACAGATAAATTCAGAGTTCATAGTAATTACAAGTAACTTAGCAATTTTCTTCTTTTAAAATGCCAATAGTTTAGCTCTAGCTGCGTAAATCTTGTACCTATTACGTGCATGAGTTCCACAATCGGTTGTATTAAGCTTTGTTCAGTGAACTACGCAGACTTATTAACTAAGTCAGTAAATAACAGAAATTTTGGGACCTATTTACAAATAAAAAAGCGCGTTCGTTTTATCACGACTAGTGTTACTATTATTTCATAGATTAATGCATTATTTTTTAGTCATTATTATTGTTAATAATACCTATGTTGCTAATTACCGCTTAGTCTTGCTTACGTCTTCTCACGCTATTCTCGCCGTATTCCAGATCCGCATATAATGATATTATTCAGATTTCTAAAAGACCACAATCTAATAGTGTACGTCCTTGCAATTCCTACACTATAGATATGTACATTTGGATTTGTTTGCGAGAACGAGCGCTTATTCTGCGGGTATTTACTTCATGGTAGCTCGGATGTGCTCACTGCGTTGGAAACCTTTATCCCATCGTCTATATTATTTAGCATCTATTTTAACCTGGCGCTTGATTTGGGCATAGTCGTGATCTTTGTGAGCGCGGGTCGGGCAGAATTTCATTGTTTACGTATTAATGGATGGCGCTCAAAGTCATCGACGACACCTTGTACGTGGCTGCGTAACACACGTACATAGCTAGACATCCTGCCTTCCTTAACTGCATTCTGCTACCGTAGCAGAACTTGGCGGCTTCGCCCTGCCGTACTCGCTTTCTTTAGACGGCGGATCTGCAAGTTCCGACGGATAAGATGTACCTCTATTACTTTTTTCCGTACGCTAACAAATATCACGGTCGCACACCGACCTGTGTGCTCTAATCTAGATTCATCTACCTGGAAAATTGCGCACCTTAAGTTGGCGTACGGTTCTGCCTGTGCTCGGAAGCCATTACCACGACAGGCTGGTAAAAATCTTAACTGATGATCATAGCACCGTTTGTGAGTAACTCGGAAAGTTTGTTATAATGCTTTTTTGAGGGCTACCTTCCCTGTCTATCACGTTGTTCCATCAAGGACTGGCCTTGTGCAATTGGCCACCTTCCTTGGTGGATGGATGGTAGATCCGCTTGATGTGTCGGTGTGTCAGTGATGCCGAATGGTGTTTGCCTTTTGCCGGATGCGTTTCCAAAAGCGGTTGCTTAACTTTTCTGGCGTGTAATCTCAGTTCGCTCGAAAGCCCTGTCTGTATATGGATAAATCTTTGTTGCTGCGGTAAGGTGCTTTATAAAGCAGCGAGGAGTCCTTTAGACGTTAGTCGGAATACCCACACTTCGAGCTTTGTTGCTAACTATTCTAGCAATGCCCGTTAACCATATACAGATTACTGGAACATCTTTCGTTCATTGTGCGTCAGCAGGAGAAAAACCTAGAGAACCTCTGATGTAAAGCAGTCATACAGTGGTTTTTTTAAAGCCTTTCCATAAAGTCACTGTGCTCGCAAGCTATCAAGCTATACTCAAAACATGCCTCGTACGATCTTTACATTTCCAGCACCATCTGGTTGGTTAGTCAATTTCGATACTTTAGCATGTGATGAGTTTCTTCTGTCTACTATCTGAGCTAGTGTTCCTGAATGCCAAGATACCGGTCGATTAACTGGGCGATAAACTATCTAATCTATATCGCTAATCGTTCCACTTTTTTTTTTTTGGGCATTCTTATCTCTTTGATTTATGTAAATCCCTATGTATCCTCAAAATTTCTTTTTGAGGTCCATCATCAAATAGTTGGCTCCACGGGGTAAAGTCTCGCTGAACTTAGCGGGGATTTTTCCATCAGACCCATGAAACGGCATAACAACCTTACACCCAGCTATTAACCCAATATCTCTTGTGTCTTTTAGTGTTGGTGTGTTCTTTTTCTTTTACAAAGTACCTTATTTTTTTTTCCTGGTTTTCAGTATTTGGCAGTTTTTGTCAACGCTGAAATTTTAAGCAATGGGGCTGTATGCCTAATTTTTCATAATTAGGCATAAAAGAAATACGCATTAACCACCCAGACCATAATACTCACAACCATTACATACCTGTTACAAAAATTGTACGAGCTGACTTGATTTTATAGTTTGTTGGTAAACACATGCGTATTGTACCTACTTCTACGGCCATGGATGTAAATTTGTGTTTAAAATAGTATTTACTTTAATGTTATGAGCAAAAATCATATAGAGTATTTTGATAATAAATAAATTCAATCGATTCGTTTTATTTTGGCTGCGGCAATGGGACGCGATGCTGAACCGTTAGCCGTCGGTTTCTTAGGAGAAGGATGAAGTTAGCGGAGTTAGCCTTCAACGGGGTCGGCCAAAGAATGAGACGATGAATTGGGGAAACTAACTGAAAATCGTACACGCTAGAGAGGCAGCCGGCAAAATAAGCGAATTATCCTGTAACTGTTGAAATCGGTGTCTAGGTACGCAAAAATGCTATTTACTGTACTTTCCATCACGAAGGTCATTATCGAAAACCAGCGGTTCATGTTAGCATGCCACGTTAAGGGATCTGGGTCAATAAAGACTGCCTCGCAAACAGCGGAGATCGGTCACAAGATGATACTTTAGATATGACGGTACAATAGCTGCCTTAAAACGCCAGATGAAACTAGGCCTAGAGCGCAAGATGAGTGCGTCTAGAATGGCCTAACTGTGATACAGGTTATGATTTGAAAAATCAATACAACGTCCATGGCTATATAATCGCCGAGGGAGTGCTGACTGTAAAACCTGTGAGCCCCAAAGTATGATTCGATAGTAAGATGCTAGCATTTTTGTTTATTAGCAGGTGTTAGTAAATCAGTAATAGTGAAATAGTTGAGGGGTTAATGTTTGTTGATCTAGAGAGCTCGTCGCCGCCGCCTTTGTTTCTCAGGCCCGTTGTCATTCAGAGTCCTCTCGAAAGCGAAAGTACTCCGCAACTATAACCCACGTGAGGTATCCTGCGTTCATTTAAGACTTTCTTTATTCGCTATGGTCGGCCGTCTAGCCACTGAGTCTAAGTGGATATTCGCCTTAGTTAATTACAAATCGTTTATTTCAAAGCATTGTTATTATTATGCCTCATCATGCAACTTAAATATACAATAAATTCCGACAACTATTCACACCCTAACGAGACTTTATGCTCGATGTAACTATATCAACTTAATCTTTACCAGGGCTGTTAAACGTTGAGTTATGTCCTGACAGGGGTTACTTTCTTTACCATAACGCTGATGGTTCGGATCCGACTGCTTCATACTATTAGGAGTTTCAGTTTCAAGTTGTTGGTTCATTTTTGCCAGCAGCTTCCTTAAACAAATAATGTAAATGAAGAGAACAATTTCATATTAACTATCATTAAATATGTGTAGAAGTAACGACACAGAGAATTATTATGACACGAAAATTTTAGCCATCGTTACTCTTAAGTACAGTAATAGCTGTTATCTGGTTATGGTAGAGTCGCTCGCTGCATTTTCTAGTTTATAACAACAATCGCTGAAAGCCCATCTGAACGACCGCCATAGCAACGTAAGGCCTCTGATCTCAGGTAAGACGAGTGCGTCGAAGAAGCGGAACGCAGCTAAAATTAAGGTAGGCAAATGTCTAACTAGAAACTCGAGAGCGAGGCGCTATCGTGAACCACAAAACAGGGGTTTATTCTTTTCAGCCGAGGGTGGCAACAGCAGTAACCGAATTAACTACTTTTTTGCCACCTGTTTATGTGGCCGGCTTAACAGAGCCTTTAATATTCTTATCCTTCTCGGGTCTCTCATCTTGTCTGCTCCTGTACCCCACATTTTGTCATTACTCCTTAAAGGTTCTTAAGTTTTGTTCATTCACTCTTTCTAGTTGAACTCTTGTATCCCTTATCTAGCCTGTATTTCGCTGTGTGTGTGTGTGTGTGTGTGTGTGTGTGTGTGTGTGTGTGTGAGTGTGTGTGTCTGTGTGTGTGTGGTGTGCTTGTTCTTAACCTTACCTGCGTTCTTACCATTCGTTGCTCAACTATATGCCCAGTCATAACAGCGGCAGCGACAAGCAATAGGTAGTTCTTTTGTTACGTAGATATAGAAGCTGGTGCACGAAGAAGCCATTAGCGATTAGGATGGCCACGTACACGGAGAGGTATTGAATAAGTTGCCTGTTAGAGACAGCGCTTGGAGGGTTTAGGAAGGCTGCAGAGGTTTGGTTCAGTGAATCGACTCATGAAGATAATTTTTGTAAATCGCAAAACCTTTCTTAGTAGCAGACCGCCAAGTGCGAAAGGGTGGGCGACTGTTAAACGAGCCATGACGCCGGTTGTTTTTTCTCTCTGCGCCTCCTCGCTGACCAATCGTAGCTGTTCGAACCCAAAAGACCCAGTTGAATTGCTTACTACACTCTTTTCGAAAGTTAAGCTCCGTGATTTTACTTGATGCGCAAATCCTCGAGAGCTGCTTGCGATGCAGAGATGAAAATGGTCATGTGCAGGCTCTTCTAAGGCGGTCAGAGCTTAAACTGGCAAACAACATGCCAGCATCGAGAGACAACACGTTGCACTCTAATCCACCTTAAATTGTCCCTTACTCTGTCAAAAGGGACTTTCAGCTCGAGGCCAGTGCCGCCATGAAAATTACTCGTTCCTTGGCTGTTTCTACACTATGTCGGTCCTTGACCGAGGTACACTTCAATGACAAGGACTCACGAAGACATTTAATGCAGTATACGTCATATAGACATAGACTTCGATACTGCGGAAACCTATACAGAGCAGATCCGCGAGTTCAATAAATTTTGGGTTAAAAATTGTGGTTCGAAAAGCGACGGGTAAAAGGGAACGAGCCTGTTAGAAACGCCGTCGAATGTCGCAGAGGGTTCTCGTTGCCTGGTCGTCATCGAGTCAGTGAAGGCTCTTGGTGCAAGGGGACCTTTAAAAGCCAAGGGAATAGGCGGGGCAATTCGCTCTGGCTAACTGGCTGGTACCCTTGGCACGTCGCTGGTTTTGCTACCAGCAGCCGTCGTCGCTCACCAACATCGCGTCTACCACATGTTGGCCATTTGCTGCTGCTGTTGTTATGAGAAGGGACCGCTAAACCCAACGGGGAGCCGCTTTTCGTCGTGCTTACCGATTTGCTTAGGTTACTGCTGCTGCTACCATGTACGCCAAACCTAGTCGAGCAGGCCTTCCAGTTGACCTGATCTGCTGTTTGCCTTTGACCCTACCACCATCGCTGCTGTTACTACTGCAGTGAGCACATGAGCCGTTGGTGGCAGAAACGTCACCGTTTTACTGGTCGACACGGCTAATGTAAGCAGATACAACGAACGCTCGTTCACCTCCTAAATGACGTATTTACCAGTTTTACGTCTCTGTGCAGGCTGGCACCGATGATAATGGGTAAACCAATGGAACGCGGCCGACGGTGTCGTTAAACAAAGAGTCTGCGAAACTTCGAGAAGGTTTCAATAGACGAGCGAAGCGGTACTGAGCCTTTAGAGCAGGGAAGATTGAACGAATCAGCAGGTCCAATCTAATAATAAAACTAATTTTAAGTTGCTCGTCAGTTGTTTAACTCTTGTCTTAATGGCTCAACGCCCAGTTGATGACTAACCAAAGAGCCAGGCTGAGAAATAATAATACATACAAAATAGGCCTGGCTTGTTATCGAAGTTGCTCCATCCATTGAAGGTGATCGTGTATATAATAAGAATAACTCACGTAATAAACTCTTTTTGACATTGCTATTGGAATTAGTTTTCAGCTTTTTATAATAAAGAATAAATATTTCTCACGATTTTATATTCCTTCTTTTTTATTGCATATATTTATTCAATAATAAATGATATGTTATTGTATCTACGGTACGGATCATTGGTAAGCCGACAAATGCGAGTATTATGTTACGGTTAAAAGAGTCATTTCTAGCTTCCTATGATTATACCCAGTTTTAAATATTTAATTATTGCTTGAAACTAGTATAATACGCAAAAAATGGAGATGACTTACTCATCCGCTTCATTATATACATATATTTGCACACGCAAACATGTATCCTGATAGGAGGACGTTTTACTGCCAGACAATGATTTAGTACTAAATAACATACACTTAAGGTTCTAGGCTCTAACCTATGGGATTGGCAGCGTCGAGAATCCGACAGTTATAGGACTGACGACGTGAATGAACGAAAAAGGGTAAAGGGCCAGCAGCGAGCCGAAATTACTGATGTTTGTGGTTGCCATTACGGCTATCACTGCTGTTATGCACTTCCTTGTCGCACGGGCCTCTGCTAGTGGTTTTTGGAGGGAAAACAAGAAAGATGACAAGCCAACCAACCCTAGGGGTTTCGTAACATCCAGCAGCAGAAATACGACTCCAGATTTGAAGTCCTGTACACGACGAAGCAAAGCAGAAGACACGTGTTTTTCACCTCAGGCAAGCCATAAAGAAAAGCAAAATACGCGATAGAAGCAGAGCACCCGTAAGTAGGGCACAAGGCCCGCAAGTAAGGCCGTTGTGCTGCTCGCACTGATAAATTGGGTTAGGCCCTCGTTGCATTCTACACGTCAACTGGCCAGCCAACTTACCTATCACCGGGGGAGCGAACGAATGGACGGATAACTGACTGACGAGAAAGGAGGACGAGGGGAGAAGAAGGGCCCAGTGACGAGCCTGGAAGGTATCAAGGAAAGAAGAAAGGGAAAAACAGCCACAAAGCGATCGAGCTTTCGGGTACCCTTGTACGACCGTGCAGGTTCGTTCAAACAAACAACCAATTCTTTGCGTCACGATTGTCGCCGCCACCGTTATCGCCGCTACTTCTATTACAGATACAAGACCGCTGTTACGACTTCAAGTTAGGCGAAGAACAGAAATCGAAGCGAGGAAAGCACCATTTTACCTCTATTATATAGAGAAAGGAAGAGAACCTACATGAGAGCGTAATAGAGGGAATGAATAAAAGAAAGACAGGAAAAGGGAAGTGGTGTTGGCTGCCTTTCGGCGCATGGCAACTGAATGAGCGTCGGCGTTAAGGTACACGACAGGAACGACAACCACTGTGCAAGACGAATCCAATTAAATTGCTTGAGTGGCTCTTCGGGCAACTGAGAGCTTGGCAAAAATAGGGAAGGGGGCCATGAATGTATGGGCTAATCGGCAATAGAGGACGTCACAAAAAGCAAATGGCCATGGTGTGTCACAAATGAAGGACTATAGGGGAACTCCTTGCACGAGATCGTTTTATCGCTGGAATTACACGCAACCAGAAGAATAAAAACGATTATTATTATTGTTATTTGTTTCGCTAGAGTTATATTAGTGTCGTTTTCTGAAATTAGGCTTTAGATTCTTTTTAAGCAATTTAACAGTACTTGTTAATTGTGCTATTATGTATTCATAAAAATTATTCACAGCCCATTTCAGCTTGGCTACGCTATAGGCGTCCATAACTGATTAGGGAGTTAACGCCCTATTGCTTAATCTAGCCGTTGTGCACTAGTACGCTCGACCATAACATGTCTATGTGTTCAACGAAAACGTATTACAAGCCTGTTTCAGTTTGTGTTGAAATAGCCTTTCAGCATAAGATGAAACCTCACTTAGCTTAGAACTATGTGGCCGCCGCAAATCTAAATTAAAAGTTTTCACCCGACAAGAAATATACTTAGAGTCTTGATAAAAGACTACGCAAGTCAGTGTGCGACAGTCAACGGAATTCTACATACTTCCTCGGTATAAATTACAGCTTCTCTTTGGCGTTCCCTATCTTCATACCATACCCTTAGTGCGTCAAGATGATAGAATCCTCTAACGCTGCATGAAGAATGGATACATATACAGATTTGGCTTGAAAGTGTAGTGCGAAACGCAAATGTGGAAATTTATTTTAAAAATAATTAGCTACGACATTTTTAACGGCCTGGGAGGGCATTTGGCGAACATATGTTGAATACCGTTGAAGGTACCTTTTTGGCTTTAAAAGCTAAGGGCTCAGCTTTACCGTGAATACGTGATAATTGGTTTATAAAAGTTTGCAGTACTTTGCTCCGATTGTTTTTTAACAGAAAGCCGACAATGGGGCGTGTTTTTTTGCAACTTCATTTTTCAATCGACGAGAATATTATTTTAATTCAACCCTTGCTACAATGTCCGTGGGCTATTTATGCTTTTTCCCCGCAAATATGGAAGCCAAATTTGTATAAGGCTATGTTGTTCTCTGAACTGAATCAAATAGGTAAGTGTTGCCAATTTGTCATAATGAAGCCATCTCTTTTCGATTTTTCAGATTTATATGCTCGTTTTGTTCGGTTGCGTATCTATGGATGCATAAGACAAGGACGACGCTGGCTAATAATAAAATGCATTTAATAAACAATCCAAGCCTTTAATAAATCATCTTTACAAGAGAGGCAGCGCAAATACACCTGGGCAGTCGAATTCCATATCTTGGAATCTGTCTTTTTTGCTATAGATCTTTACAAATCATAAGCAAAGTAAATATGATTCTTTTTTTTGATAATCATGAAGATTGTCAGTCGCCAATTGTCGCCACCGATGTTGTCTCGTTGTGCTCCTAAAATTGCTATTGTTGTTGTTGTCGTTGTTTCAAGTCGTCTTAAGTCAGCTGCAGCCGCTGTCGTTACAGTTCGCCCCCTACCCACTTAAGGGAACAGACCCTACGCCTCTCGTTCACTCATTCAGTCGCATAGGGACTCACTCAAGCGTCGTTGTCCAGCAGTCTACCGCCGCGAAGCAATGCCTTTCTGCGGAACCATACAGTTCACGCAGGCCAACGTTTCCATCCCTTATCCTTTTAGTCTTTCGTGTAGTCGTGTGCCTGTGCTTTTTGTGCTATCCCATCTCGACCGCTTTCCTCGCTTACTGCATACTCGTGGGCTGTTGTGCCTTCCACGAACAGAAGAATCTTCTCTCAGTTTTCTGTTGCTGCTATCGCCGCCATCGTACTGAATAATTAACATGTTGTCCCGTCTAACCAACACCCAGAACGAGCAACGGCTAAAGTAGTAGGACTCGACTCACCCCCGCACTTATCCTGGTACCAGAAGCCATAACATGCACCTACTTATTCAGCAGCTAGCCACGAAGAGTCTTAGAGCTTCCAGCAGAAGCAACCACCCACAGGCATGAAGTACCCTGTTCTCGATCTTCCTCCTTTTCTCCTTCTGTTCCTTTCCTAGGCCACCACATTCTTGTACAGTTTCTTGTCCGTCCTCACCTTTTTACTTTATGAGCTTTTTCCTCCACGATGCTACATCATTCTCCTCCACATCCCTGTCTTCCTCTTCCCCAACACGCTTCTAATTCCCCGCCCTCTGTCCAGCTCGTCTCTCTGTCTTAGAATAAACAAAGTTTAGTCTGCTTTCGCTGGTACAGTCGAGGCTTGGTCGGACTTGACCCAACTGTTGTCGTCAAGTGTAGCTGCATCACGCTCTGTTTCACTGGTTGTTACTTTACCCGTCTTGTTTGGTTTTCGGCTGGACAGTAACTTTTCGGAGACGTGCGCAGAGTCGGCTTAACAACAGAAGACGCTCTCCTTCGGCAGGTCGCAGACGCTCCACATGACTGGCTTAGTGGCTGGCTTATTTCCACACTTGGTGGCCACTGTGACGGTGGATGGCGTCGACCAACCCAGCTGTCGTTCCGCTTTTGGCGATACAGAAGAGAAGATATGTCGACGGATAAATTATTGCTCACAAAAGTAGAGACTATCTCAGTAGCCGCTGTACAAGTTGCTACTCTACATACACGTACTAACATATCTAGTACAATTCGGCCTGTCGTTCCTACATTGTTATATGGGACGAAGATACTATCCTGAATTGAACCTTCGCTCCTTGTCATTCATGACCATTATTTAAAATAGAAGCTATGTGTTAGCTCTCGTCAAAACATAAACGGATAAACGATAAGTAGATACCGGGACATATTTGCGGGCAGCACCTAATTGCGGTCGGACGGATCGATCGAAGCAGCGCTGAAACCACCACCACGTCGCATTTGAAGACACCGAATGAATTCCACTTCACTGTAGTATTCATGTATATACTATGCATTTATCATGAACGCAACTGGCGCCATCGGGTGCATGTTGAAGTCGATAAAACCAAAAAATGAAGATAGGTGCTCACGCGCGCAGGTACTTTAGCCAATTCGCAAAAAAAATGTTATAAAAATTAAAATAAATGCTTGCATCTCTACTTTATATCATTCAAACACTCAGGCTTTGATTCACATTGTCTATTACTCATTCCACCAATGCCAGCATAACACGGGCGTAGCATAATTTAATGTGCCATCAGAATTGCGATGATCGAACATAGCAGATTTTCGAAAATTTATCGTTTCTATGCTCAATTGATACTTAACCGGAACGATACGATGCCGCAAATTTCCCACCATTCGACATTTTTAGTTCATGGCTTTAGCATGCGTTTAGTGTTGCTAGAGTTCGTCAACGAGGCAAACACATGCTAACAAACGCTAACGAGGATCCGCTATTGTGAATTTTACAAATGTACGAATGTGTTTGCTCTGTAGATACGTTTCGCAGATCAAGGGGCCGTTGGATTCGACAATCCATAGGCATAAAACAGTCATAGATCTATATAGTTTGCCTATTTTCTAAATACGGTGAGGTTTCTACTAATGGCCAAACAAGGTCATCGAGTTTTACCAGTCATTTCCTTAGTCGCGAGCAGTTTCGTGGAGGAGATGATGGACAAGAAGCTGGCGAAAATCACATAGGCGCAGCCATCATGATGGCATCAGCCAGCTAGGTGATGTATCATCATTCGAAATGGTGAAACTTTAAAAGGGAGACAGAGACCGAGTCGCCGCATCTAGATCGAGCGCAGATCGCCTCGTTCGATCAAAAGGAAACAACAAACAGGATTAAGTGACACACGATAGATGGGCGCGAACTGACCTAGTATTGCCTCCGATGGGGCCAATCAGTAGTCGGCCACTTCGTACGTTCTACGGCGCTGAATCGAGCTAATGTTCGATAATCATTAGCAAAAAGGAAGCGTTCTGTCATTACTATTGACTCGTAACGGACCTGCTCCGCAAGCTAACTGTAGAAGCGGCAAACGTTTGCTACGACTCCGTCAATTGAATCATGAACATATTCTGCCTGATGGTAAAAGAGCTTTACAACCACTTTCAAGTGTAAGCCTTTTCTATACTAATTATTGCCTGATCCTCGTGCGTAACCCTGACAACAATGGTATATATGATCTTTTCGTATTAAAAAGAAGGAAAACGTATACGTCAATGTTTCGTGTTTCATGCCCGGTATCGCCGTTAGACATACCATCCGGCGGTTGGTTCCAAACATAAAACGCAGTCTGCCCATGTTCGGGTTTGAACCCAGACCACAAGGTGTTCCCAGTATTATTTTACAAATACGTTTTTCAGAAAGCTGTCACGGGGATGCGCCTGCGCACACTTTTGGCTTAGGCTCTAATGCTAAATCTTCAGAGAGGCTGAATATGAGTCGCAGCTTGCAATATACACCACTCCCAAAACCACTCCCAAAGTATACATCG